CTCAGTGTTTCCCTGTGTTTTGCAGACAGGTGGTTGTGAACTCTGACATCAACTTTGGTGATTACAATTACTTTTCTTGTTTTGATTTGTCCTGTCTCTTCCAAGTGTTGAGAAATGTGCTGTTTTCACCATATTTTTTTCTTAAACACAAGTTTAAAGGGAATTATCTACAGTGCATTTCCTTAATGTGTCAGATTAAGGTATTGCTGTCTTCCCTTCTTTCCAAGTGAGATCTGTGTCCTGCTAGCCCATATGTTTCTAACCAACTCTTCTTGAGCAAAGGTTATTAGAAAGAATGTGGCAAGGCTGCTCTGGTATTAAAGTGAGTTGTTGAACTTTTGCCTAGGTCCCAATATAACACTGGAGGATTTTCTTGATCTTGTGTGTTGCTTGTAAATTCTCACCCTCCTCCCCCTCTTTCTTTAATCTGTTGGGTTTTTTTGGTTCAGTTAGGGATTGACTGCTGTATTTCCTTGAAATACATCTCATAGGCTGAGCACGTGCTTAATGAATGAAGGCCAGTACTGTCAGCCACACCACTTTTAATTAATTTGTGGTTCTCTAGTTGAATAATGATAATCCTACAGTAGCTTGGAATCCTCCCTGGTGTTGCATTTATAGTAGTTAAGTATGTAATAAGGAAAATAATTTCTTAGCACCTGGTAAAAGTAGAGAAGACGAAGCAAAGTAGAAGGAATGTGTTGGTAGATCAAGGTAAGCATAGATACAATAAAGTTTACTCTGAACTGCAGGGATGGATAAAACTGCCTCAGCTAACGTATGATTAAAATCACACTAGAGATGCAATGCTTGATAAAATGCCTGGGAGTCTTAAACCAAGATTTTATCAGCTCTCTCTTGGGCCATCTTTGTTCCAGTTGGGTTATCCATGACCCCTTTGCTGTTGGTGGTGCGTATGCAATCAAGACCAGCTCAAGAAATTATTGAGGCAATTTGGTCACAGTGCTGTTTCTATAAAGATGATAAACTTGCATAGTTCTGGACTCAGAAATTCATTGTGTAAACTGCTATAGAAACAGGTCTCTCTTCTGTTAGACATTGGCAAAGCTCTGTTTTTCCACTGCTAGCTAAGAGCTAGTTTACTCTGATGTTTATGTGAGCAAAACAGAGTACGCTGGCCTATAAAACATGTACGACTTTGGCTAGTGCACTCATTTATTGAAAAAAACCACCTACTCACTAAGGCACACATTAGTGATTATGCTCAATGTCGCCATTCCCTGTCTCTGGAAGCTTAGGGTATCTTTTACCTGCATGTCACTTTGTTGGTGTATATGTAATATACTCAGCCTGAAAACCAGTTTTCTGGTGTTATCCTGACAATTTGTGCTGAAAAACTTCCAGTTTGGATTACAGAAGTGTCTTTGGTTGGAAACTGCAGCTGCTATGAAATGGGGCTGCCTTCTCGGGCACTGCTGGTTCCTTCGTGAAATCTACTGTGCCAGACCATCATGTCCTGGTTTAACTCCCTCTTCTACAAGAAATTGCTTAGGTTTGTAAAGCCTTTGTGGTGACCAATGAAGCTGTCTGTAGTCAAGGTCTGACAAGTTGTTTACCGGACCTAGGTGCTGAGCTACTTCTGCTTCAATGGTGTTTGTAGGTAATGTTTTAAGAACCTTGTTTTATTGGGGGAGGAGGGCATGACTTCTGAGAAAGATTCAAACACTCATTGGATTTTAACACATGGCCTTTTATGTGGAAAGATTCAGTATAGGCTCTTCCTTCTGCATCGTCGCACCTCTCTTCAGGAGCAGTCTTCCTAAATTTAACCTTCCTGAATAAGAATTCCCTGTATCAAAAAAAAAAAAAAAGCCTCTCTTTTTGATTTTTGAACTCTCTTGAGTACTTTGTGGCTGTCCTTAGATAGCGAAATTTGCAAAGTCTGCCATAAAGTTGTACCTCAAGACCATAATGTTTCCATTGTAGGCATCTGCCTCCACTTAGGGTCCAGCTGAATTTTGCTGCCTCTGTGGGTAGATCTAGCTGATGTTAGGAGGTGCACAGACCTATTTGTGCTGGGGCTGTGGTACCTCATGAGTTGTGGAGTTGCACTGAGGCTGGTACGTCAGGGTGGGTGGGTAACTTAGGTCCACACTTCTTTGGTCCACTTGCTCCTTGCAGGGGGAACTGGGGTTGACTTGGCCCGGTCCCACCAGGACCCACTGGTGCGCTTAGCTCAGCCTCATCGTCGTGCAGCAGAGCACCTGGGGAGGCATGAACCCAGTCTACCTTGTACTGAGGCTGGTGACCTGCAGACTTGAACGTCCGGAGCTTACTGCCCACCAAGTCCTTAGATGGAAGAATAAACTAGCAGATGCTCATTGTGAATGAAATGAAACACTGTGCATGTGTGCTGTCAAAATAGGTACATTTTCTGCACAAGGTAAAGGCAGTGAGTAAAACGCTATTTTACATTTGAGGAGAGCTGGAGAAAATAAAGACAGCCACTACAGGTGCCTTCAGATGTGCTTTTGCAGGCATACTTGGACTTATGACTTGAGCTCTCTTTAGCTGTTATTTACTGCCTGTGTCAACTGGAAGGGTGGTTTAGGAGAAATCTGTCTGTCTTGGCACTGAATCGAAACGAAAGCATTCATGGAGTCCATTACGGTGGCTCGGTGGAGGGAGTGGTAACTCATAGGAATGAAAGTGGGAGGCAGCCACGTCTCGGATCATGTTGTGAGAGCGTGTCTGAATATGTCCTTAATCAGCATAACTACAGCAGCACTTTGAAGACTCCTTTGCTCCAGGATTAAGGGTCTTCCCTTATGTCTTCTAAAAGAAAAAAAAAATTGCTAAGACAAGCTTGGGGCTCTTTTGAGCATAACTATTTATTTTATAGCCCTCTCCCCTCCTGTGAGCCTTACTTATGAGAAGGAAAGCACCTTATCCTAAAACTGTGGAGAGGTGCCAAGGGCAGGGGTCGTTGTCAGTGTGAAGCTCTTGAGATTAAATAATTCATTGCATGCTTGCTGTGTGCTGGGAGTGTTATAACATGGATAAAGAAATGTAGCTAATGGGGAAGAGTGGAGATAAAACGTCACATCCCTATGCTCGCTTGAGCTGTATGGCAGATTTCTGGGGGAAATCCAATGAAAATAGATGTTGACAGCTCGTGTTCAAATCCTCTTAAAGGAGGCAAGTTCTGTAATGTGTTAGGTGTGTCTCATAGGAAATGCTTCTCATCTTTTTCCCTTGGTATGTGGTTGAAGCTGTCTTGCATCAGTGTGACGCTTAACACTCATGTTGTAAAACAGGGAAGATGCATGTGATAAGATTAAATATTTAAAGAAAGATACGTGTCCTTTTTGATACTATGTATAGTGAGTAGCTGTTCTAAGTTTCTTGTTACTCCATTTTAATAGACTTATCAAATATTTATACTTTGTGTTTCTGTCCAGAAGCTGGTGGGGGTGTGCATGTGTTTCCCATTTACCACCTTTATCTCAAAGCACTGGGATTTAGCTAACTAATGTTTACAGGGCAACTGACATAGCCATTTTCAGGCTTTGACGGTAATTTGCAGCAGGCCTTGCATGTTAGAACCAGCGTGGCATTTGTCCGTAGGGAGGGATGGGGAGGGAGGAAGAGAATGGGAGAGAGGGATGGTTTGGGAGATGGTTGCAACAGTAGATTTGTTTTGATCTGCATGACTTAGCAATTTTTCTTGGAAGCTGGAAGAAAAAAGGGGCAGTAATTTTGGTGAAGTAGAGGTCAGTGTGCAAGCACAATACTGAATATTGCTCGAGAAGAAACTTGTGTGCTTTTCCTTAACTATCACATTAAATGAATCTCGTGCACCCAGAAGCTTTTTTTTTTTTATATTACAGGAACTCAGCAGTTGGTTTGCTAAAGGCATGTTGTACCTTTTAAAATCCTTCAAATACTCCAATTGAAGCACCATAAAAATAAAATTGCAGGACTAAATCATGCTGTTATGTGTAGGGACAGGCAGAGGGTCCATAAGCATGACTGAACTGTTTGTCTGTAGCTTGTTTGATGGTTTGGTAAATCTAATCATGCCAATTTGGTAGATTTCTTTTTTTTTTATCTGAGTATATAAGCATAAACGTACTCAGGTTTCTTGCCTTTTTAAGAAGGAAACAGTCTGTTAAACTTCCATGAAACGTTTTAAAAATCTATTACATTTTTAAAAAATCTATTATATTTATAGAGGATGCTGATGCTGGTTTGGTGAAGGGTGGATTGACAAAGTACAGTGAATCATTTAAGAGTCAGTGAATTTTTTTTTTCTTCTAGAAATTTTCCTACGTTGGCAAACATTGAAAGGAAGAAGGCGATGCAGATGCAGAAGGAAGAAAGGGGACAAGTGCTGACTACCCAACAGTTTGGGTAAGTGTTTTGAGACAACCTTGTTACTTCTGAACTCATTAGGCGAAAAGTATGCTCTCTTACTGTGGTCTCCCAGCACTTACTGCCTCTACTGTACACACGATCTAGGTGCCCTTTAACAGAGGACAGGTCATTTGACAAACTGCAGATGTAATGTTCCTTTGTTTACAGTGCTTCGTAGTCCACTTCAGTTAAATTAAACAATAATTGTATTAGAAATCTGATGTTCGTGCTGAATTCTGTGCTCTGGCTTGTGTGAGAAAACCACATTCTGGTGGTCATTCATTAGATCAGCGTAACCTTGGTCTCTGAAAAAGAAATAATGGGGACAGAAGTCATGCAGCATAATGAATCCACATAGTCTAATCCTTTAATGCCTGAAAATGGCCAAGAGAGATTTTATGAGCGGATTTGGCTTCTTACTCTCCTTTCAGATGATAAATCAATAATCAATTGAAGAGGGGAGGAAGATTTAACTTTATTTTCATAGCTTAAGTAGTGCTACTTCTCTCTTCTACCCTCCATCATATTTATCTATCTGCTACCTTTGTTCTGGGCCTAATACTTAACCCTGTTGGATTTTTAGCTGTTCTCTCCCTTATATGGTGAATTACTTTCCAGTATGATCTTTGTTCTTTTCTCCTGCCCGCAGTGTCAGTGTTATGTGGAACCAGCTAACTTCATTAGCTCTACTTTAGGGCCTGTGGGAACACTTATAAAAAATGTTATAATGATCCATGCTCACAGAATATCACTTGTTTAAATGAAAACGACTGAGCTGGAAGGCAGCAGCAGACCCACTTCTAAGGGGCTCTTGCTAAATCCCACTTGCTGCTGCATGGAAGTGAAGCTGAAGCTTGTCTCTTGCTTTTTTTTGTTTGTTTTTTAATAGGGAATGACACCAAACAAAACAAAACTTGCACCATGGTAAAGTGGTTGAACTAGTGCAGAATAGGGTTCGTGCCAGGCTAGTGTGATTTGTTAAATGGTTATAGTGCAAATTACCTTGGTGCAGCATGTGCTTCAGAAGACCCAACACTGACCCACCCCGTCCAGCCGGTTGCCTTTTGTGACTTTGAAAGGAAGTATTGATAAAAGACTAAAGTAGAAACTTCCTTTGAAAGGTGTAAAGTTGCAGAAGTGCTTTGGACCCGAAGAACCAAACCTAGGCATTGAGACTAAAGCCGCAAACGTATGGAATTATGTTTGGAGGCTCTTATGAGCAAAGATGAGTTTCGCTTGTCACAATAACAAACTGCTTGGTGTCTACAGGCTTGTTTGGTAACTGTTGTGGCTGTGAGCTGGGTGCATTGTGTAGTCTTAAATGTCCATCAGCAATTCCATACTTATCTATTACATGTGTTATAACTTTATATCTGGAAAATTGTTTGGGAAAAACAAAGCCCTCAAAACTACAGGTTGTTTGCTGTTTGCTTTCACTTAGTGACCTTTAACTCTTGTTGATTTTAGAAATTTGTTCTTTTTTCCCCTCCCTTCCCTGAACGGCTAGCAATATAGACTTGATGAACTGTCCAAAAAGCTGTCGTTTCTGCTTTGTGTATCAACAGTAAAGATTCTGGAATTGGTGCTTATCTGGCAAATTTACTGATGCATGAGGCAAAAATAGAATACAGCTTGTTCTCTGCAAGCTGTACTATTAAAGCAAATAGCTAAGTAAGATTTAGAAGGGATTAGATACTTAACACTTCTACGGCGCTTTCCATTTGTGGTTCTCTGAAGTGCTTTACAACTGCTAATTCTCAGCATCCCCACGTGTGAGATTAGAGATGCAGAAGGACCACTTTGGCAGTCTGTGTGGTGTCTTGCAACAGCTGATTAATAGCGCATGGCTCTTTATCCCCTCTGAACGGGAAGTGAAGAGTACATCTTTCATGAGGGGAAGGCAGAAGGCAGATGCCAGGCTGACGTTTGTTGGGATGTGTTTGTGCCCTTGGGGTTTCTTTCTGGGTGCTTGAGGCCCCAGGGAAATCAGAATGCTGTTTTTTAACCCTTGGTCAAGGACAACACCTCTAATTGAGCCTATATTTGCTCAGTAACTTCTAGGTTATACAACAACATTCTGAATTTAGAGCCTGGTTGTACAAATTCAGAAATCCAGTTCTCTGTCTAGATGGAGTTGAATTACGGGAGCTAATATTAGCCTCCTTTTATGGATGAGAGACTGATGCGCAGGAAGGTGATGGCTTGCCTCTTGTGCCACAGAAGCGCTATGGTGGATGACGCTATCAGGGCTGAGCAATCAGTGTTGTTAGACACTCGTGAAATGGCTGGAGAATGAAATGAAGTATGTTTTGTTGTGATATAAAGCCATTTTGAATGCTATGGCAGGCCCTGTTCTCCTCTCAAGAAGGACTTAATTAGGCTGGAAAGGTATGGAAGAGAGGAATGTTGGTAATGGGAACATTTTTGTACAAGCAAAGAAGTGGGTGGCTTGGAAGGGCTGTATGATGGAGGTCTAGAAAGATTGCATAGGTGGGAAGAGGTGAGCAGAATGCAGTTATATGCTGTTTCTTGTAACTTGAGAAGGATGTGGCTACCAAATGACCATTTTAAACATCAGAATAAAGACAAGCCAAAATTAAGTCCTTCTTCACAGGATATTAACACCTTGCTGCAAGATCTCAGGGATGCCAGACGTTTCACACAGCATCCCACAGCATGAGACTCAAAACCATCAGTGTCTTGGGAGCGTCTCTAGTCAGAGAGGGTCTCTAAGTGGTACACTGCTGAAAAGTAGGCGAGCAGAAAGGTGACCATTTGCTCTGCTTTTATGCTCTTTTTTTCTTTGCTCTTGCATGTTCCACTGGCTGCTTATCAGTGACAAGGTACCAGGTTAGAAATAGACCTCTGAGACTCTGCTTGCAGATGCGTGACTCTAGACCCAGGGAGAAGTTTCAGGAAGAAGCTTTTGCCCAAGTATGGTATTATACAGTTGACTAGGGGCTCGTTCGAGACGGTAGATCTTATATGTCTTTTGTGGTTGTAATGTGCTGATGATTAGTTGCAGCCTTGCCTTGCTGAATTAAGTTTCTGTTGCTTGAAAATAAGTATTTTCAGGAAGCTTATGTTGTCATTTCTATATTTGCTTTTCTGTCTGGGTCACACCTATTCTTCTATGTGTAAACTTTGACAAGAGTTTGTTAGGCTCTCCGGGTACCTTCCTATAAACATGTTTTGTGTTTATAGGATAACCTGGAAGATTAGTGGAACCAGCATGCTGTGCTCTTTCCATAATTTAGGACTTGTTTTAGGTTTTTTAAAATCCATTGTCCTGATAGAAGTTTCTTTTCCTTTTCCATCCGAGTGAAAAAGATGAATGTCATGTTAGCTGGAGGCAGGAGTGGGCAGTTGTTATTGCAATTGATGGTGTCAGATGGCTGAATGGATTTAGTGCAGCAAGATCCCACTCTGAGCCGTAACTGGAAAAAGGAGACTTAGCAGTGGAAGTATGCTTACAGCAGATGATTCCCTCTTAATTCCACATTCCCCCTGTTTTTGGATGACTTCATTGATTAAGTGAAGGGAGTATTTGTTGGTTTTGTAATGTGAAATGAAAACACTATATCCTTACACTGTAGATGATCAAGAAACTTGCTTAGCCCTCATACCCTTTGCCTTGTCAAAAGATAAAACTCATGAACTTCAAACTCTTCATTTGGGTTCCAGCTTTGTCACATTGCCCTGCCAATGAGACGAGCTGTGACTACCTGTCTGGTCTGTCACCACGTGTTAGCTGAGCTGGAGTAAGTCCTGGCAGCAGGCTGTGTTGCTGAACCTTAAATGCGGGCCTGAGCCATTTGGTTACGTCAGCTGATTTTATTCTCACAGCTTGTCACGTGTATGAGCTTTGTGTTTCTATTCTCCAGCAAAATGAAGGGGATGTGGAAACCTCCAGAAAATGAAGAGAGGTTTGGGCAGCAAGGAAGACAGAGGAGAAGACAAAGGCGCCCGTTCTGGAAGAAATTTAGGAAAAATAGCGGCAATTATAACGTACATAGAACTCAAAATGAAGCCAATGGACCAGAAAACAACATGTGTGAAAAGGAACATGAAAAACAGCGTGCTTTGGTGGCTCAGCCATACGTGAAGGACATGGACCCTCTTGGTCTTCTGGCAAACAGTGATGCTGGTAAGATGAAGGAACTTGGAGAATTTTTATTTTAAGTACTGCTGAAAAGATTACTGAACTTTTGTGTAACTAACAACTTCTGGGGAGAGCTGGGAATTTAGAAAAGCATGTAAACTCTGTCCTTGATTGAAAGAGGGCTAACTAGGCACGTTTAAAATGGGATAACTCTCTCTTAGTAGAAGATAGATGCATTGATGCAAGGCTTTACAGTAAGCTTGCAGAAGAATGCTGGGGAGCCTGTTGTCATATTTACCTTCTCATTGTTACTAACAAAAAAAAAAAAAGCCCAGGATTGCTGTATTGTGGCTACGATAGGGCCAACAGGGTCAGAAGCTTGAAGGTAGTCCAACATCCCTGTGCCTAAAACTTGCACTTAGAACTTGCTTTTAAATGGAAATTTCCGTAGGGAGATACCCTGATTCAGGACATGGTCTTCTAAGAAAATTTCCAGTGTGATTACTGTGAAATGTGGGTTAGTGGTTTATCTAAAGGAAGTGGGGTAAATCTTGCATTTCGGGGAGCTTCTGCCCTAGTAGGCTTGGCCTGTTATGGAGGAAACTATCTCAGTAGTCTAGAAGTCTTTGAGATACGTGTGTGTGTCTGACTGAATTCATGTCCACATGTGCTGGTAGGAGGAGCTAAAACTAATAGACTTGGCTGAGATACAGTTTGGAAAGATGCTGAAATACAAAGTCATTGAAGAGGAAGAAAAAAAATCTGATTTGGAAAGGCTGACACAAGAATGTTTAAGATACTACCAGCATTAAGCACTTTTATATAAGTTTGCTTGCAAGCTAAGTTGATCATATTATAAACACACAGGGAAAATCTAGCAGACTACTTTTAAGTCTTTCTGATTTTTCTGTGAGAATTAGGAAGCATTAAATTTTGTTCTGTATCAGCAAAAAGTGCTTAATCTAAAGAGGAGAACGCGTTGGGAGACAGGATGTAGGAGTGTCTTGGATTTGAAAAATATCCACACCGGATACTTATTTGTCTTAGTTTTGTATGTTTTAAAATACCTTATGTGCTTTAAACTAATATTTAGCTAACAAACTGGAGAGGGTTTCTCGGCTCTTAATGGAGCACCTCAATTCTATCTTTGTTTTAACCAGTACTTTACCATAATAATCTTATTTTATCTGTGATTTCCTGATTAGGAATGCTTTTTTGTCCAAAACGCTTGGCTAGGAAAGGCAGCAAAGGGAAAGTGGTTCGAGCCATAGGGAAGTGACGCTGTGGTAACTTTAGGAAAGAGAAGAAAAGGAATAGCATCTGAGTTGTTTTAAGTTTAGATGCTGAAACTTTTGCTTGTTAAAGTTTTGGAAGTGCTGCCAAAAAGTTTGTGTGCAATATTACATGTTCTGTCATAAATACTGTACAATAGCCTAAAGGACATGAATCAACTTAGGTTGCTAAACCAATGTGTAAAATAAGAAAATCTTTATAAAGCCAGAAGAATGAAGTACTTCGACAATCAAATTATTTTGTTAAGACTATTAAATATCCTGTTGTGGTTTTGAAATAACAGTATTTAGAATGTGAAAACAAATGGATTTCCTTGTAGAAGTTAAGTGAATTACTGAAAGTGTCAGCATTTTTCTTTTAATTCTAGATTTTGCTATATTATCTAATTTACTCTTTATATTCTCCTTATGTGTGTGTTTTCTGAAGTATTGCTGCTTAGTTTTTTTCGTGAGCGTGTCTTGTTTCTACATCCTAGCAGCAATATAAACTCTGATGCAGTACTCTTAGAATATGGCATGCAAACTGACTTATACTTTAGCTATTTTTAGCAACAAGGCTAGAATGTGTCCCCTGGAAAGATGTCTGATGCTGACTTTTTCCTCTTGAAAACATTATCTTCAATTAATGAGAACAAGAACTCAGCATCCCTATGCAACTTGTTTATTCCAGTAATCTCTGCGTGTTGGGAAACTTAAGTATGCTTAAATATAACTGTGTTTTCCCGCAGCATCTGTGTTTTACTTAATGATAAAAAGTCTAATTATACCAAAGTACAGCTAGTAACTTCTGTTACAATAAGTTGAAAAGGACAGTGGTACTTGCTTATTACACATTATTAAAGCCAGTTGCAGTTTTTTATGCTATTGAGAAATACAGTCCTAACAAATAATAACACACACAATATAACTAAATAGAATTTAAAAAAAATCATACAACTGAAGTCCATGATTTTGCTGTGTAGGTACATTTTGTTGGAGTATTTAAAACTTTCTAGCAGCGGCAGCCCTTTCTCTAGAGGGAATGTATTTTTTGCATAATGCATTCACTTAAGTTCTGTTTAGTGGCTAGTTCCTTCAGAGCTAAGAAATTGAATGGGAGATGAGAAAACAGAATTTTCCTCTTGATTTATAACCAGAAACAAGGTGAGATGATGAGCCTGTCAGGTGTAAAATTCTGAGGGATCTACTGACCAGAAACCGTGAGTTGTATTCCGTACTGCTTCCTCCAAACGTGTTACTCTCAAAGAGAAAATGTATTCCAGTAAATGCGTTTTCCTAATTTGCTAAAAAGCATATTAAAAGTAATTCTTTAAAATTTAAAGAAAATAAAAAGAAAAGGCATCCAACCCCAGTATGCACTCAACATTTTGGATGAGATAGAAAAAAATCAGCAATGAATCAAAATAACTTGGAATAAATGCTGTTTTTATAATTGCTTAAATATATGCAGATGCTCTGTATTCTCCATTAGAAAAATGCACCACGTTTAGCATGAGCTTCCAATGTAATTGCAAATTGGCATGATTATTAAACCAGTGAGAATCAACCTTTCTCAAAAAGAGCTCAAAGTAAAAAGAGGCAGGTCGGTAGTTTAGATAAATATCTGCATATTTATCTAAAAGTTGTCTTACCAAATGGCACGAGCTCAAATGAATCAAATTGCTAACTGTTAATTAGAAGAGAGTAGAGAAACATTTGTGATTTCAAAATAAGATCTCAAGAGTGTTTATTTCAGTAAAATCTTCTTAAGAAGTGTGAGGCAGCTTTCCTGTGGGGCAGGCTTAGACAGACGGGATGGGAGAGGGCACAACTCTTTTTCTTTGTGAAAATAAGATTGCAACCAGTCTTTTTCTAGAAGACTCAACAGGCTACGAGTTTCTCAAAATGTTTCTAGTAGTGGCGTGTGTGCGTATAGTGTGTGTGTGTGTATATATATATATGAAATTTGTATGCAGGTGTATTACTGAAAAGCAATTCCTAGTTTTCCTGCTAACTCTAGCACTGTTCACCTGAGAGTCTTTCCAAGATTTTAATGCATATAGATCCTTTGTTTCAAACTAAAGCCATCACAATTCTGCATGTTTATTTTTAGGAATCTTTTTCTGGTAGGGCTCTGTTTTCCTAGTATCCTCAATTTCAGCATTTTTGGTCCACTTGCCTCCTATCTTCCCGGTATTCTCTTTTGGGGCAGTTTGAGACTAATACATCACTTACTCGTGCATGTCCATAATGCTCTGTGGGGATTTAAGTATCAAATGGTCTGAAGTACTGCTGAAAACCGGTCATCTACTTTGTAGCCTTGGTTCTCAATGTCCCTTATGAACTTCTTTTACTATCCAAAAAATTATTGGCTCTTAAATTCTCGCTTTGAAGGAGCCTAATTCTCCTTCCCCCCCCGCCCCCAACTGGCTTTTGAATCGTTCTTCCCCGCCTCCACAGGACTAAATCCAGCAAGACTTCAAAACATATTATGAAATCCTTTCTCTCTTTACCTACACTAGATAATAAAACCTATAATTACGTTTGGTATGTGAAGAAAGAACCAGAAAGCCCAAGCTCTTGTTCAGGAAACTTTTTTTGCTTCTGTAGCTTTGCTGGCAGGACTGTAAACCAGTGGTGAGATGACTTTGCCACCGAATGTCTGTAGAGGGTAGGCAAGTGTGGGGTTTTTTTATCAGTCCACGGTGTTGAGCAATGGTGCTCGACATCGGTCTTGCATAGTGGTGAGATGGGGGTTTAGCAGCAAGGCTGGCTGTTGGCACGCAGGAGTATTGGGGAAAAATCCCTCTCGACTTTTCTCTCCCTGCAGAATCCGACAAGGACGAAGCAGCAGCTGAAGACGGGAGGCTGGGATTGACTGTTGTTCCCAAGCAGGTCACCTCCGCCCTGAGTTCGTTGTTGGCCAACTATGGCAGCGCGTCCGACAGCGAGCCTGAAGGTGTGTAGGAGTGTGTCCTCTGCCCTTCTCCTCTCCCCTTCTCCCCTACATCACTGCACTGGTGTGGACTGCAAGTAATGATAAGATCTGATCACAAATGACCCTTCTTTGGGAAGGGTGGGGGGTTTCACCTTTTCTGTATTTGATCCTTTGCCATCTCCATCCAATTGTCCATGTCCCATTTATTTATAAATGCAGCATTTATGAGAGCAGTAGCCCAGTGGTAGCTCTTTGTGGCTGCATCCCCAAAAGCTGCAGGTTATCAGTGCCAGACAGAACCTACATAGTACTTAAACTTTCTTGAGAAAAAACTTTTAACAGAAATCAAAGGTGTTGCAGAAGAAAATACAACAGGTAAGCTGTGGCTTATATTTAGCAAAGATGTTAATGTAATGCCGCATCCAAAACACTTGGCTATGGAAATGCCTTTTGATTTCTGGCCTGTCTACCAGTGCTGTAATTCAGAGCTGTCTTGTACCTGTTGATTTTTAGGCTCACACAAGTAAAGAGAGAATCTTGTAAAAGGTTACGCACAGGGATGTTTTTGCGGTCTGTGTACAGATCCTTTCCAGTTTGCTTTCAGTGACAGTGCATGCTAGTGCTGGTGCAAGCCATGCGTAAGGACAGGCTGGGAGGAGTAAAAGGACATACCGTTATTCTGCTCCTCTTGTTTCCCCATTCCTCCCTCCTCCCAGTTTTGAGCACTAACCTGGGTTACTGGGTGAGCCATTACTTGTTCCCAGGATGGTGATAGGTCCCAGTCTCAGAGAAGCACCCGGCCAGAACACAGCATTTGTGCAGACAGCCGGTGCACGGGGATGGCCTTGTCCACTTGGCCTGTGCCACATCTAATGCCTTTCCCCCCTGCTCCACCCTCCTAGCCCATATGTTAGAAAGCCTCAAACAGAGTTTCCTGAAAGATTGAGTGTTTTTTTTCCCCCCCTCTTTGCTTGCCTTTTCTCAGCACCATCTCCTGGGTTGAAAGGACAGCATAAAATGTCTTTGGTTAGGGTGTGTGTCATTGAATTTCCCAAGCCTTTTTTCCCCAACTAGGGGGAAAAAAAAAAGCAGCCTGTCTTCAGTCTCACTTCAAATTATGTTTGAATAGTGCCAGAAAAAAAACTGTTATGCTCACCCTGTGAACTGATTTCCATGTCCTTAAGGGCTTTTTCCGTAGAAGGCTTCTGGGTGTTGCAGTAAGATTTGAACTCTGTCCTTGGATTTTGTGCTTCTCTGAGTGTATGCATCAGTGTATGGTAGAGAACTGCTGCTGCTCCTTGTTTTTGCAGATAGTCACTATGCCTTACTCGCCCTAGACGGCCTACCCAAAGTTACAGAGAGCATCTAGCAGGCAGGGAGTTGAACTTGGGCATCTTCTGCCCTAACTATCATGATTTTTCTCAGCAGCCAAATTTGCAACAAGCTGTATTGTGAAACGGAAGCAACGTACTTTCTAAGTGATAACAAGGCAGAGGTTTGAAAATCTCGTTCAACTCTTACTACTTCTATTTTTCTTTTTGTATTGCAGAATTTAAATATCTTGTTTTCCTTTCTGTGAATGTTTAGAGATTATTGTTTGTATTTTAAAAGAAAACCCAATCCAAACAAAACCCTCCCTTCCTCCAAGTAAACCTTGAACATCTTCACACCAGGTTATGTGAGCAAGAATAGTACTAATGAACTGCCAGTGCATGGGGATATAAGCATGTTAAAGAGGCTTTTAAGTTTGAGATGAAAGTGTGTTCTTTTTCTTTAAGAAATCCCTGTCAAGACTGCAACAAAAGCTGAGAAAAACGAGGTTGTGCTCAGAAATGCGCCTCAAAGTACTTATGTTCCTTGGAGTCGAAACCCGAATCAAAAACGTCCGGAATATGCAGGCACGACATTAAGAAGCTCGAATTCAAATGCACGTTCCCCCAGAGGGCCTGATAACTGGGGCAAGAAAACATTACCTCTCCTTCCGAAGCGCCGTCCAACTCTGCTGGAAATGGTAACAGTCTTAGTGTTAAAATAATGCCTCCTGTACAAGAGTAGCACTATTTGTGAGCGGTTCTCCTCTTCCCTGTGGGAAGTTAGAGCAGTCTGTTAGCAAAGGTCCTGTCTTAAAATAGCGAAGTGAGCGTTTCACTCGGAGAAAGTGTAGATGCTTGAATAGACAAATAGAAATACCCTGGTGTGCATTCAGGTAATGACTGACTTTGAGCAAGAGATGACAACTTAATCATGTGCCTAAAATGAGCTGCACGAAGGACAAAACCTCTGTTCCTCCCTCTCCCCTCCCTGTGGTAGCATCCAGTAGGATTTGTTTGCGTGTGATCCCATCAGCCTTATTCTGATCTTCCTCCCTTTGCTCCTGGCTTTGCTATTCAGCTGCCTTCCCCTGATCAAGGAGCACACAATCTTTTCAGATGCAGTCAATGAGATCTTGTTGATAAGAGTGTTGGTGACTTAAACTGTAGAGTGGTGTTGAGCTGCAACCTGCACATGCGTGGGTTTCTTCTCTGTAGGCATGTGTGGGCCAGTCTGAGGAAGTGACAGTACCTTGAAGAGCAGGTTGGGGTCTCAGAAGGGTAAAAAGAGGTTTGTAGGGGTGAGTCCAAGGTGTTATGATTCTGTTCTCAGTAACAGTGCAAAGCATCCTGTTTGGAAGCTTGGTGGCTTTCTTTAGTATAAACAAAACTTTGAAGCTTTTATTGCATTTAGTAATGAAAAGCAGTATCGGATAGGTAGGCTACCCTTGTGATTCTGTAAATAGCCAGCATAAAGCTCCCCCATCAAAGGAAAACTTGCTGTGGGCAGAGCACAGGAGAAAGCAGGGTGCCACTGACATAAGAGCTTGAAACAGCACAGGATGTTTAGGCAGGAGGTACCTGATAAGCCACATCCCAAGCTGCAGATGTGGGAGAAATCCCTTGATAGTCCTTTTAGCACATACTACTGTTGCTGCCAAGAATTAAAACTCCTAGTGACGGAAAAGGAAGTGTTTGCCCTTTGTGTAGCTCCCTAAGCATGCAGTCGTCTTTATCTCTTGCTCTTCAAAGTTGTTGGTGATCAAAGCAGTGAGGACTCTGGAAAAAAGTCATATGAAGTCCCACATGCTGAGAGAAGCTGGCAGAACATTGGAAGCCTGAATTGTAGCTTGCCAGTATAGTCCATTTTGAAAATTGCATTTTGGTGGGGTTTTTTGCCTTTTAATGTTGCTCAAAACTGTGTTGTTAAAGGATGTGTACTGTGGCTGTGAATCAGAGGAGTGCCTGAGATTTGCAGGTGGGCTTCCGCTGTCAGAAATGGTCAGTGTATAAAATCCTTGAGGAACCAAAGTTGAAATTTTAGTGAATCACTGCTGAGAATTTATCCAAAAAGTAAGGAAGTGGGATTCCTAAGAAAAGGATGTTGTATCAGTGAAATGATGCTTTAAAAAAAATAAAAGGGGAGGTAGGAGAATAGCTGCGGATGTCTATTGGCACTCATTCGGCAGTGAGCTTGGGCACTACTAAAATGTGTTTATTGTAGCCATGCAAACAGTAATGTGTGTTTAGCCGTTCTGTATGCTGTCAAAATAAAAAGCCTGTGTAGCATCACTCCACTGATAACCCATCCCTGCATTAAAAAATGTAATACAAAGATACAGTCTTTGATAGAGTGATGGTGCATCCCATCTGTGCCTTTATTTGTCCATTTGGGAATTCAGCAGTTTCTCCCAGTCTGGCAAAGAGAACATCACAATGCTGTCTCTTCTCTGCCCTAATGTGCATCTCTTAGTTCAGATGGGAGGTTTCTGAAGGCCCATTTTAGGTGTTGGCTGCTTGTAACACCTCTTAGTAATCAGTCTAAATGGAAATATGCACACTTTAAGGTGGCTGGTTAAACCACTGTTGAAACTTAGAACAACAACAACAAAAAAGCTTCTCTGCAACGTTACAAGCCAAATTTAGCTAGGATGTGTAATACAGGTCTCCTACAAATGATCAGGTAGTTACAGATTTAGCCACTTTAAATTTGTTTGTTCAGAGTACTAGTTTGGCCAACACTTGCAATGACAAAAGGTCCTTCAGCCTTTTTTTTTTTTAATATCAAAATGAACTTTGAGGTTAAAGGAGATAAGGGAGGCCTCTAGCACTTTGATTAAGCTATTAGACTTAGGTTGGTGGACTATAGCCCAAACCAGTTATTGCTACTTAAATCCATAGTCTGGTACCTGATGAAACATGCCCTTCCCTTGTATTTATAAGTATCTTTTACTCACAGGGGTTTTCTAATGAAAAATGCATGGGATATTAAATTACAGATACAGTATAACCTGGAAAGTGTAAAAGATGCTAATAGACTTGCTATCCTGATGTACTGGAATGTGGGGCCTGGAATGCGTTCTTTGTTTCAGGTGTTAATTATAGTCCATGATATGAGAACATTGTCATCTGGGCCTACAGTCAGATAATTGTGGGGGAAATTCCTGGTATTTAGGTATATTCCGTGACATTCGCTACCACCTAAGCAAACTGAGACTGATAGCTTAATCCAAAAGATACCATGAGATTTGTCACTTGTTCTATCTGCCTTAGTGCATTAATGGCTCTAAATGAGCGGTGCTTAAACATGTGCGCTTTGGGCATGTGTGTATTTTTCATCCATTCCAGTGGTACAGTCATGTGCCGGTACCATAGTGAATCGTGGCCATTATGAGCCTCTGTCATTGAAAAAGTGGTGTTTGATCACCAACGTGTGCTGCTTTGGTAGCTTGCTGCAGCCCAAAAGGGCAGCTCCCTCCCTGCCACCTCCTCTCCGGATGCCTGGTCCCACCTCTTCTCTGCTATGCTGGGCCTTTTGCTCACCCTGTTCAGTTTTTGACACCCTCCTCCCCGTCCTCCCCCCAAAAAAAACCCAAACAAAAAAAAAACCCACCCCAGAACACCCCACTACTTGCTGCTAACTGTCAGGTTTGTTTTTTCCTGGCTGGTGAGCTGAACTGATGCAGTAAGAGGCCTGATGAGCGTGAGCTGGTGTGAGGGAAGAAGGGACAGCAAGCCCTTAGATCTCCCAGCCCAGCAAGCTGTGCAGTAGTGCTGTCAAACACGCTCGCTGGCTCTGCCAAAGCCCCCGTCAGCTGGTGGGAAAGCACCCAATGTGGGAGTACGTGGCTTCCCTGTGCTGTCTCTGGTAAGGCAGGCAGTCTCTGTGTGTCCAGGACTTGTGTGAGACAGCCAACTATTTAAATGCAGAGATGTTCAAAATTATTGAGTAGAGCCATACATCTTGCTAGGCTTGTGTCAGCTACAGAGCAATAGAGGGAAATGTGCATCATCTTCTCTTCTCTTCTTTCCAGTTACTGGCCCAGGACATCCGACACGAAAGGAATGTGATTTTGCAGTGTGTTCGATACCTCATCCGAAATAACGTGTTTGGACTTCATTTTGAAACAGAACCACAAGCTGAAACAGAGACTGAACAGTCCTCTGCAACCGCAACCACAGCAGAGTCTTTGACGGACCAGCTCAATGAATCTAATTGTTCTTGTAGCTCTGACCTTCAGTTAGCAGGAGGAGAAGATGCATTATTAATAGCCCAGGGTGAGAAAGCACGCGTGGATCAGACTTCACAGATGGTTCACTTGGCAGATGAGGACATGTGGGAAACCCCGTCAGTTCAGTGTGAAGAAGCACTGTAGATGATGTCTGTTGTGGACAATAAAGCAAAGGCTCACCTTTTCTACCTGACTGATGCTTTTTGAAAGACATCAGTATAACAAAATAATCATTAAAGTACATACTGAAAGCTGTTAAAACCACTTTTCTGATCTGTTCTGCCCGAAGTGGCCGTTTCCTTGTGAAAAGAGCATCCGTGCTGAGTAATTGCGTTTCCCCATGGCAGAAAGGCAGCAGTGGCACAGAGTGTGATCTTCCCTAGAGTAGGTGCGGATCCCCACTTTCAAGCTTCAGAGCTCTGAATGTTTTACCTCGTTACAAAATGTGTGTCAGTCCATCACCAGAGCCAAGTAGTGTTGTGGTAGGATGGATCTTCCTCATGTGAAATCATGGTGTGGCGTGTCTGGGAGTATCTGAGTGTCCAGAAGTATTTCAGTGTACTTTTGTAATGGTAATTCACTGCATATTTTTTCCCCAGCTGTTATTTGATATACTATATCCAATATAAATGTAATATATCCAGTATAAACTGAAGAAATGAAATGGAAGATACAACTGACCTGGCTCTAAAAGTACTGCTTGCACCAGAAGTCTCCTCCTCTCTGAACTAACTTGTTAATTGAGCAGAGAAATGGAAATGAGGGTGCAGACTGATGCAAGAAGCCTTAAAAAAAAAAAAAAGAAAAAAAAATTTGCTAACTGCTTGCATCAGTGCTAGGTTGCTGGTTGACCTCAGGTACCCAATATTAAGCCTTAGACCTTGCTCTTGAAGCAAACTCTTAGTATTAAGAATATTATCAAAGTTCAGAAAGCTTACCAAGAGTTACTGGTTTGTCCCTCTTTAATATGCATTGGGAATATATTAGTTTGCCTTCTGGAAGAATGTCTTCCTTAGTACATTATTACGATGCTCCTACAGCATCCAGTGCTTTTTCTTTTTTCATAGATTTGTGCATACAGCCATAGTGTTGTGAGCACTAAAAAAGCATCAGCCAAGGTTTAGAAACAAGTTTAGTCTTTTGATGATTACATTGTGTGTTTGTTTGTCAGAATCCTTCTTGTCAAGGGCAGGTGTTAGTTTGTCACATTGACACTGAAAACATGCCATGAAAATAATCTATTATCAAGACCTCCACTTCAGAGTATTTCTCTGCTCTTTGTCTTTTAGTCATGGCTAAATGTTGGAGTTAAATCTCAGGGACTGATTTTATTTTTTTGTTCTTTTGTGGAAGTCTAACCTTCCGTTCCACCATCTAAAATACGGAGACTCACATGAGGGTTTTTGTTGCCTAATAACTGTATTTTCTTTCCTCTAGTTCCTTAACTTGTGCCATACATCTCATTTGTGGTGCACAGAAAACAAGAAATAGTTGAAAATTCTGTCCCACTGCTCTGCAGTTTATAGCTACGACTGCATATTGTGTTTGTAATGCACCGTCTAAATTTACGGAATTATATAAATATCAACACCCTTGTAAAAGTTGCGTGTCTCAAGAATATATGTGCAGAATAGAAGCAGTGATCATAAACATTTTTATTTCCAAGGCAGATGATTCATTCTTCCCATGATGGTCCCACGAGCCGTTTCAATCTCACTGACTTGCTTATGGCTCTTACAGTTCTACTGCGATGAAAATACCAGCAAAGGACTCTCAGCCATGGAGAACTGGCACTCGGCAGAACCTGATTTCAGAGTGGAGTGGTACCAGTGCTGTTGAAAGCATGGGTAACAGCTGCAGGAAAAGAAATGGATGTCTTAGGATTGCTACTAAATTGCACTTTAATCAACCCTTAACGTGCTTCTGTCCCTATCGAATTGATGGCAGAGCTTTCTTTGACTGTACACTCTGACCTTGTGTTTAAAAAAAAGCAAAACAAAACAAAAAACCTTTAATCTGAATTCTTTATACTGTTGTCATTATGGACTTAAGAATATTAAACTTTCACACAAAACCAAAAGCTTTGTTAGAAGAAAATCTTTTTAAAGTCTATTTCATGTAGCTAGGAAGAGGTGGGTTTCTTTTGGGGGAGATGTGTACATGGCCAGCATGGCATAAATCAGGAATTCTAACCTAGGACTTGTTGCGTACATGCAGAATTGCTATTGTTCTCGTAGCGAACCATTTCTGCCAACTCATATAGCAGACACATGGAGACATACACTGCAGTGATGTTAAACCCTGAATTGCAGTCTTGGTCAACGAGTGGAAGGTCTCTGTCCCTTCCTTAGCCCCACTTTTCTTTTCCTGTTCTTCCAGACTGTGTTCAGACTTCACGTGCCTCTTCCTGCTGTTCAGGAATGTGCTTTCTTAGTACCTTGGCTTCAGCCTTTGGATAGGAAAGGTGCCACAATGACCTTTTCTGGTACTGTCAAATGCCTACGGGCTTCTCCGGTCCCTGTAACTTTCCTGTTCTGGGTTAAGAGGGGTGGGTTTTGTTTACTCCTTTCTAATAAGAAACCTCTCTGTGTCTGTGTAAGAATGTGTTGCTTCTGACATGCTGCAGGAACCAATGTCTTGATTAAGCTTTGTGTAGCTTTTAACTTTCTCATTGTTTTGGTGTGGGGTGGTGGTTTTGTGTTGATTTTTTTAAAGTTGTTTTTGCAGTGTTGTTAGGAAAAGAAAAAATCCTACTTCTCAGGCTTTGTGACTCACTTTAGATAAAAATATTCCAGTGACAACCTTCACACTTCTGAAATTTTATTTTTGTCTATCTTCTTTTATAACTTAGCTACTGAAAATGTAATTGTGGGTGTCTAGTTTAAATTCAGTACCCTTGGGCTTTGGTGGTTTTTTGTTTGTTTTAAATCCATCTTGCCTACTGAGCTAGAACAGTTGAGAGAGGGGGGAAAAAAAAAAGAGTTGTGGTGGCGCAGCTTAGGCAATCTAGGCTCTGCTGTGAACAAAGTCACGCTACAGCACAGCGGCTCCTGAGACGAGGGTAAGGGAAATGAGTGTTGTGTGTTTCTAATCGGTATGACTACTTGGTCAGTGAGGGCTTTTGCATCTGATTTTACATGTTGATGTTGCAATCCTTGCACTGAGAGCGCAGGAGATGGGATGGTTCGATTAGCCCTGCTCCAAAGGGAGATGCTGTCCCTGCTGTCAACGTGCTGATCCTCTGTGTCAGCTCCTTACAACTGAGTGTCCCTCTGCTTCCCCTTGTTCCTGTAACCGCTAATCCAAGTTAGTGCAGTCGTTATTCAGGAATAAGTCATACAGTCCTAGCAGATGTTACATGTTTAAAAGTGTTGACGAACAAATACAAACTTTTTTGGGCAGGTTGTTCTGTCAAAGGCAGAAGTCTGGGCTGGAATATTGCATTCCCCAAGCTACCTAGATGTGACAATCTGGCATACTATGGACTGATGTCATCGTGAGGCTGCTCTTGAATATCTCTAAAAGCACAAGACAATTGGAGAAAGTTCCTGAGGACTGGAAGGAAAGCAAATATCGCTTCAGGAGGATCTGGGGACCTACAGGCTCGTCAGCTTAATCTTGCTCCTGGGGAAGGTGGTGGGGCAGATGAGCCTGGAAACCATTTCCAGACATACTAAGGACAAGAAGGTGTCTGGGTTTAGTCAGCATGGATTTATGAAGGAGAAATGCTTCATCAACTGGATGGTCTTCTACAATGAGATTACTTGCTTGGTGGCTGAGGGGAGTGCAGTGGATGTTGCTTATTGTAGCTTTAGCAAGACTTTCGACACTGTCTCCTGTAAAATCCTCAGTGGTGAAGTATGGGCTAGATAAGTGGATGGTAAGGTGGATTGAACACTAGCTGAAGTGCCAGGCTCAAAGGGTTGCGATCGGTCACCAGTAGGTTGAGGGAGGTGGTCCTTTCTCTCTGTTCAGCACTGGTGAGATGCATCTGGAGTGCGGGGTCTAGTGCTGGGCTCCCCGGTTCAGGAGAGACATGGACATACTGGAGCAAGTCCAGTGCAGGGCCACAAAGATGATGAAGGGACTGGAGCATCTTTGATATGGGGAGAGGCTGAGAGAGCCTGGAGAAGAGAAGGTTCAGGGGGGATCTTATCTGTGTGGGTAGATACTTGATGGGGGAAGTAAAGAAGACAGAGACAGGCTCTTCTCAGTGATGCCCACAGACAGGACTCGAGGCAAGGGACACTAACCAAAATACAGGAAGTTTCTTTTAAATATAGGAAGAAACCTTTTTACTCGGGGGGGGGGGGGGGGGGGGGGGGGGGGTCCAACTCGAGGGGGGTTGGGTGGGGTGGGGTGTCAAACTCTAGCACAGGTTGCCCAGAGAGGTTGTGGCATCTCCATCCTTGGGGATATTCAAAACCTGACAGGACACAGCCCTGAGCAGCCTGCTGTGGCTGACCCTGCTGTGAGCGAGAGGTTGGGCTGGATGATCTCCAGAGGTGCCCGCCAGCCTCAGCAGTGCTGGGAGTCCATGGGCTGAAGTGGATGCGTTGCTCAAGATGACTTCTGGGTGTAAGACAACTGCTTTGGAATCTCTGCCCCTACTGAAAGGATAGAGCAGGCAAACCCTGCAGGCTGCCCACGCAAGGCTGACAGGCTGCTTCAAGGATTGAAGAGAAGGTACCGAGGTCCAAACTCAGCGTCCTTGACAACAGACAGGAATCCATGGCCTACGTTTGTCCTTAGTGTCCGCCTTTGTGCAGCCTTGGACTTCAGCTCCGTGCATCAGTTTGCAGAGAGGAATGCTAAATCCAATGCTTTAACTCTCCTTGTGATGCAATTTGAGACAGGTGAATGAAAAATGCTACATAAGTGTTGGGTTTTGCTGTTACTTGGTGAGGTGAAAAAGAGTTGTGTCGGTCTGGGTATTCATTGATGCTGTCTGGGAGTGCTCGATACCTAAAAGAAACTCCCACTCTCCCTACTTTTCATTACTTCTCTGGCTTATGTTGTGTGAGACTCTTCCTAAATTGTCCTCTAATTTCTAAATATACCCTTCAGGCAGCGGCTCTTGTTTGGTAAGACAGCTTTCTTGGCATGGTATAATTTTTCCATCTTTTTATTGTATATATAAAGGAAGTTGTATAGACTCTGTATGGGCATGGGCTCTTGTATAAAAGCAATACCAGCTCAGTAAAATAAAGCTTGCATTGGGGAGTATCTGACACATCGAAACCCCGAAGTGGTCACAGGAGCAGTTGTTGTTTGGGGTGAGGGGAAATCCTGCATGGATTTCAGCTGAACGTTTTCTAACATCATCATGAAGACACTGATCTGGGTCTTTGTTGTGGGAAATGAGACAAGAAATTGGAATGAATGCAATATGTAGTCGGAGGAAAACAGCACATTCATTTTCTGTGTCACAGCAAGCCAGGTACTAAGTATGTTAAACCTGCTTCCCCCTCTCCAGTCTCACCTGTGCCTGGCTCCCTGACAAACCAACCAAGCCAAAAGGGCGTTGTATAGTTTCCTGATTTCTATACTAGGGGTACAGTTTTCTGCACCATTACGTGAGTGCATGGGCAAACAGGATGGCTAAAAAGCATCTCCCTCGCTTTGTAGTAAAAACCAGTGCTTTACTTTCTAAACACGGGTGATCTGCCTGAATTGTGGAAATGTAACCTTGGCGTTGGGGAGGCTGAAAGAAAATTGCCACCATC